CACCACCACCACCACCACCACCACCACCACCACCACCACCACCACCTATAAAGTGGAGTGGCAGTGGAGATAAACAATTCAGAACACTAAAATAGGCAGTATTTCTTTTTTAGATTGACGATTGACGTGTCTTCCTCAGGTTGTAACGTGCACAGTGTCTACAAGCCCGTACCTCCGCCAAAGCCCTTCAGCGGAGCTCCGGCGACAGTGGCAGCAGGCAGCAGTAGTAGCAGCAGCAGTAGCAGCAGCGCTTCGGCAGCAGAAGACCAGCAGCACGGAGTAGCGACCCTCAAGGAGCAGCTGGCCGCCATCACAGGTATGGAACACACGCACACGCACGCGCGCTCACTCACTTACTCACTTACTCACTCTCAAACTTTTTACATGAAAATAAGAACATTTCATACCAATTTGCACAATATACTCTTAAATTTTAAACCAACTGATGTCAGCCACTGACATCAACAACACCCAGCTGTCAGCTACTGACATCATCAACACCCAGCTGTCAGCTGCTGACATCAACAACACCCAGCTGTCAGCTACTGACATCAACAACACCCAGCTGTCAGCTACTGACATCAACAACACCCAGCTGTCAGCTACTGACATCAACAACTCCCAGCGGTCAGCTACTGACATCAACAACTCCCAACGGTCAGCTACTGACATCAACAACACCCAGCTGTCAGCTACTGACATCAACAACACCCAGCTGTCAGCTACTGACATCAACAACTCCCAGCGGTCAGCTACTGACATCAACATCTCCCAGCGGTCAGCTACTGACATCAACAACTCCCAACGGTCAGCTACTGACATCAACAACACCCAGCTGTCAGCTACTGACATCAACAACTCCCAGCGGTCAGCTTCTAGCTCTACCTTATCTAAAAGTCATATTATATATGTAATAGTCAGCCTTGACAGACTTGAGCCTTGAAGGTGTGTGTAGTGAGAGTTGCTCAAGACTTGAGAGCGCTCAAGCCTAATCACAGGCGCCATGACGCATGGCTTTTGTTTGTTTTTGAATTGCAGAATACGGTTACGTTTTCCTTTGATCTGTTTTGTATGTAATAATATAGATAAAGTATATGGCAAGGTGTGGCTAGGGGAGGTGTGGCTAGGGGTGGTGTGGCTAGGGGGTGGTGTGGCTAGGGGGTGGTGTGGCTAGGGGAGGTGTGGCTAGGGAAGGTGTGGCTAGGAGAGGTGTGGCTAGGGGAGGAGTGGCTAGGAGAGGTGTGGCTAGGGGAGGTGTGGCTAGGAGGGGTGTGGCTAGGAGAGGTGTGGCTAGGGGAGGTGTGGCTAGGGGAGGTGTGGCTAGGGGGTGGTGTGGCTAGAGGTATGTAATGATATAGAGGCATTAATAAGAGTATTTCGTTTGACAGGATCGACGCTGAAGAACAGTGGGCCACCACCTCTACTGCCTCATATTCTGGTTACTGACCAGGGTCACTTCCACACCCACTCTACCAAGTTCCCGGTGAGTACTGCCTCGCTCTCTCTACTGCCTTGCTCTCTCTACTGCCTCGCTCTCTCTACTGCCTTGTTCTCTCTACTGCCTTGTTCTCTCTACTGCCTTGTTCTCTCTACTGCCTCGCTCTCTCTACTGCCTCGCTCTCTCTACTGCCTCGCTCTCTCTACTGCCTTGCTCTCTCTACTGCCTTGTTCTCTCTACTGCCTTGTTCTCTCTACTGCCTCGCTCTCTCTACTGCCTCACTTTCCGCCATAGTGAAGAGTAGAGGCGCCATAGTGAAGAGTAGAGGTGCCATAGTGAAGAGTAGAGGTGCCATAGTGAAGAGTAGAGGCGCCATAGTGAAGAGTAGAGGCGCCATAGTGAAGAGTAGAGGCGCCATAGTGAAGAGTAGAGGTGCCATAGTTGTGGGGAAAACTGCCGGGATTGATATGAGAGAAGAACTACTAGGGACTTGTACTGTACTAAAATTACAATTACTGTATGCAAAATTAATTCAACTAAAGTCTTTAGCTAGGGTCGTAAATCCTAGCTCCTCTTTTCCTTTTTTTTTTTTTTTTAGATATATATGGGGGGCCTCGTAGCCTGGTGGATAGCGCGCAGGATTCGTAATTCTGTGGCGCGGGTTCGATTCCCGCACGAGGCAGAAGCAAATGGGCAAAGTTTCTTTCACCCTGAATGCCCCTGTTACCTAGCAGTAAATAGGTACCTGGATGTTAGTCAGCTGTCACGGGCTGCTTCCTGGGGGTGGAGGCCTGGTCGAGGACCGGGCCGCGGGGACACTAAAAATCCCCGAAATCATCTCAAGATAACCTCAAGATATACAAGAATTGTTTCATTCATGTACAGCCACTAGTAAGCGTAGCTTTCGGGCAGGTCCCTGGAATACGATCCCCGCCGCGAAGAATCGTTGTTACAACCAAGTACACATTTTACTGTTGAGTTAAACAGAGGCTACAGTTAAGGATTTGCGCCCAGTAAATCCTCCCCGGCCAGGATACGAACCCAGGACAAAGTGCTCGTGGAACGCTAGGCGAGTGTCTTACCACTACACCACGGAGACTGCAGAGAATGTCCTAATGTCTGAGAATGTCCTCAGCCCACAGTCTGTCCTAATGACAGACTGTGGGCTGTAAGGGGCAGGTGGGGGTGAATGAATTAGTTGATTGAAGTTCCACAATCCACCTGCAGGCAATTATCTCACATTAGCTTGTATTGTTTATACAAGGATAAGATTTTATTAAATTCAGTTCTATGGCTGAACACTGGTTCTGTTTAAAGCAGGGATTTAAACATGTACATAGTCCAGCCTAGCACCATAACTATCAACAGCCAATATTCATTTACTATAAACATAACAATTTAAATTGTAGAAGTATGATATTAAGTGACCTTAAATGTAGTCTAAGTACTAGTTAACTAAGTACTAAAGATTATATTCAATTGGATGAACTTATATGATAACTAAGCAAGCTATTATTAACTCAATTTATATGTTCAAGTATATATATATATATATATATATATATATATATATATATATATATATATATATGTATATATATATATATATATATATATATATATATATATATATATATATATATATATGTCGTACCTAATAGCCAGAACGCACTTCTCAGCCTACTATGCAAGGCCCGATTTGCCTAATAAGCCAAATTTTCCTGAATTATTATATTTTTTCTATTTTTTTTCTTATGAAATGATAAAGCTATCCATTTCATTATGTATGAGATCACTTTTTTTTTATTGGAGTTAAAATTAACGTAGACATATGACCGAACCTAACCAACCCTATCTAACCTAACCTAACCTATCTCTATCGGTTAGGTTAGGTTAGGTAGCAGAAAAAGTTAGGTTAGGTTAGGTTAGGTAGGTTAGGAAGTCGAAAAAACATTATTTCATGAAAACTTGGCTTATTAGGCAAATTGGGCCTTGCATAGTTGGCTGAGAAGTGCGTTCTGGCTATTAGGTACGACATATATATATATATATATATATATATATATATATATATATATATATATATATATATATATATATATATATATATATATATATATATATATTCAATTTATATAGAGATTCAGCCAGCCTGACTGAAACTCTTCCCAGACTAGGGACACATGAGGTTATGAATCTCACGAGTGTCTGGGGTCCTGTAAAAGATTCAGGCACTACAATATTAATAAACTTACTGAAATATGAGGCGTTTCCTCACTCTATAACAGACAGACAGACTTATTGGATATATTAAAGTTTTACAAGCATACAACTGGCCAATTAATACACTAAATAACATTCAATATACTTCTCTGAATGCCGGGTGCCTGTCTGACAAGTGTGCCAGACCGGATAACTCTCTTGTCGAGTTTAGGCACGATATTTTATGTCATAGCTTTGCTGTATATGGTTCTAGTAGCGTTGCTGATTGATTATGTCCTTAATTGCGGTTGCAGTAGGATGATAGATGATGATGGTGATGATGGTGGAGGTGGAGACAATGTCACTTTGTCTGCTCCACTCTACACTCTTATATAGAAATGTTCTAGGAATTTTCCCTTGTAGATATATTGTCCAGGTACTCCCCCAGTTCTTGAGAGTAATCACTGATGATAAAGATAATTCGATAAGGTGTCCTAAGCTAATTAATGTTCGCTAAGCACCGTCATACATGTTCACTGTTTGTAAACACGAGTGTTCTGCCCTCGGGTGCCCTGTAGGTCGCTTACTCCCAAGTTGGCTCCTCCCTTCTTTTTGGGGAAGGTAGCCTTCAATGAATATTGATTGATTATTTTTACTGTCTAGACATATGATTGAGATAAGATGTGATTATAATATAATTAAATATAGGATTTAAAGATTATAAGTAGTACTGGATAGAACTATTGATTCTTATTAAGGATTTGATTTAATCCCTACATGAAATCGATTTAATTGTTCCAATAGTTTTTTAATTAAGAAATCCTTATAGAAGCTTGTGGATCCTTGAGAAATCATGCACCAAGTCACGTAGGCACCTATAGGGCCCTATGGTGTACGTGATCATAGGCATTGTCATCTAGGATCCAGATGTATAAGGAATCTGTAGTGATTCTGATATGATTTTGATATGATATAGAAATAATACGTTGCTTAGATAATAATATAGATATAGTGGGTAAAAATTTCCCACATCAGTGAAGAGTAGAGGTGCCATAGTGAAGAGTAGAGGTGCCATAGTCAAGAGTAGAGGTGCCATAGTGAAGAGTAGAAGTGCCATAGTGAAGAGTAGAGGTGCCATAGTGAAGAATAAAGGTGCCATAGTGAAGAGTAGAAGTGCCATAGTGAAGAGTAGAGGTGCCATAGTGAAGAGTAGAGATGCCATAGTGAAGAGTAGAGGTGCCATAGTGAAGAGTAGAGGCGCCATAGTGAAGAGTAGAAGTGCCATAGTGAAGAGTAGAGGTGCCATAGTGAAGAATAAAGGTGCCATAGTGAAGAGTAGAGGTGCCATAGTGAAGAGTAG